CTCACTTGCGATAAAGAGTGTAAAACATTTTTTCTTGCTTAAAATTACCATAAAAGGAAAATTTTTAACAAAACGGATGCGATCAAGAAAGAGTTTTTTTTTAATTATTTATATGTTTTAATAATAACTTAATTAATTGTATTAAATAATTATGTCAATTTTATCAAAGATTTAAATTTTAATAACATATATAATATATTTACTAATTTTATACTATAGTTTTTATAATTTTTAAATATTTGTTTTTATATTTTTATTAATTTAATACTTTTTTTAAAAAAATATATACAATAAGTAATTTCTTATAATTAATAATTTTTATATTATAAGTTTTTATCAATTGATTATTTTTTTTTATTTGATATTATTTTATATTTTCAAATTTATAAGTCCAACTTGACAAGTTTTCTAATAATATTATATTATATTAATAAAATTATTAAATTTGTATATATAAATTAGTTAAAATAATTGAATTGATTATGATTATTTATTCTATAATAATTATATTATTTGATATAAAAATATTTGTTTTAAAAAAAATACTTTATTAAAATATTAATTACAATTATATATAATATATTTATATTTATGTTTATTTATTGCTATTTACTAAATTAACTTTACTTTTTTTTTATAATAAATGAATTATTGGTTTTTTAATTATATTAATTAATTTTTTCAATTACAATTTTGATTAAAAAAACTGGAATTGAAATTTTTTTAAAAATTCAATAAATATTTATTTAAATTAAATAAAATCTTAAATATATTGTATATTATCAAGATTCAAAAATATAAATATTAATGATTAATTTAATAATTTTATTGTAAAATATTGATTTAAAACAAATACAATATTTTATTAATAAATTTTAAAAAATTTTTTAAGATATCAAAAAAGTTAACTTTACTATAAAATTATAAATTTTTAAAAAAAATTTAATTGATTTTAAAATTTTTTATAGTTTTATAAAAAACAACTGTTTTTTTTTTTCTTTTCAAATATATATATTGATAGATAATTTTATTAATTTTTATTTTTATTAATTAAAAATTTTAAAAAATTGTAAACGATATATAATCTCATTACTACTTGTCATGTTAACTCTTTAAACTTTATTGTTTTGTTAGCAATAGCTATAGTAATGTAATTCAATGATACCAAAGATTATGAGACGCACCCAACTAAACAAGGAAATAAGGGAAATACTGGTGATGGAAAAAAAAATGCATAATTGGAGTGAAGAGAGAATATACATGTGAAACAATAATGATGATAAAGAAATGAAACCCGGTATAGATACTTAATTTCGCCTTCTCTAAAGTTTTTTACCTTCTAACATGCAATTTGCTTTAGTTTCTATTTTAGAATCGAAATGATTTAATGCAAAATGAATTACATTGACGAAAGAAGTATAAATAAACAAGGGTTGAAGAAATTAGATTAATGTTAAAAATATAAGTACTTTTGTAACCAATCCAAGAAGAGAAGTAAAATGTAAAATGCTGGAGGAAGTTTGCATAATTTCATGTACGTTAATAGGGCATCATCAGGAAAAATGTGACCAATTTATCCGTCCAATAATTTTGATCACGGTCAAAAAATTGGGATTCGGAAGGAGAAAATGTGGTGGATGTCATGTTACGTTTCATCCTTGATGTGGACGACTTCGAGTTGGTGGGGGCCGTAGTTGCAGGTGTTGGGTTGTTGACGACGGTGTTCATATTAGTCCTGTTCTCCAGATTCACAGGATTATATTCAACTCTGGAATTTACCCTATTAATTTTTTTGCGTCCAAAGAGTTTAGAATAAAATGTCTCCCTTGCAAACCCAAGACGTTGGTTTTGATCGTAAGGGAAATGGATAAGTGCCGGTTCAAAGTCTGCCAAGAAAGACATTATGATTTCCTATCATATAATTTTGTGTTACAAATTAGTGAAAAACTCCAAGCGTTGGTTTATCTCGGAGTTTTTCAAGTATTAGGAGGTGTTTGTACTGGCGTATTTAGGTAGTGAATATTTCAAGAACATGAAAGAAATATTCATGAAAGAGTATGTGTTTACATAAAAAAAAAATTTTTTTTGACAGCTGCACTTTTATGTTGATCATATGCTTATATAAGTACAGATCAGTAGATCAGCGTAGTCCACCGCCATTTACCTTCATAAACCATGCGTGTAAGACTTGAATTCGAAGAGGCATTAAGTTCCCAACGTATTTGGTATCCGGTGACCAAAAGACAAAGAAGCAGTAGTATAAAGGACTTTGCAAATAACATAATACGTGATTTCGAGTTGGAGGAAAAATGTCCGAACGGTATTATCCTAGAAATAGAAGATTTCGGACTTTTGCATACTTTCAATGTTGGCGACTTGATTAGAGATAATGATCTGATTAGGCACGTTGTCGTTTGATTGGAGATCAAAAAAATGTATTATTATTGATATCTATTATACGATCGATTTTTTTAAATATAGAATAAGACGACAAGGATCGAAAAAAAGACAGCGTACTTCTTGCCGTTCTGTATCAGACGTCAAAAATGGTACGCGTAACGCCACAATAAATAATGGCAATGGCAATGACAATGACAATGGCAGTGATTCTTCTGAATCTGAATCTGAGGAAGCGTCAATTACCAAGAGGCATAAGCCAAACGAGAGGGAAGGAGAAATTAAAATAGATGATAAAACATTGAAGGAACACACTCCTTCCTCATCTTCGTCTTCGTCTCCATCATCATCATCTTCTTCACCTTCCCCCTCCTCTTCACCTTCACCTTCTTCAACACCGGATGAAAGTAGCGAAGATTCGGACGCGTCTTCTGGCAAGAATGACAATTTGAGGATGATCCAAAATCATATACCTTCATCAAATGAAAGTGATAGGGAAGAAACCGAAAAGAAAGTTTCCTCTAGTTCATCTTCGTCGACATCAGACGAAAATGAGGACATTGAAAAGGAAAATGGAATAGGGGAAAAGTCTGATGGTTCGGACAGCAGTGATGAATTTGATAAGAAATGTTCAAGGTACAATAAAATATTACGGTCCTTATATCATAGGTTTCAATCCGGGGAGTCCAAATATTTAAGTTTCGTTTTATTATGTTTAAAATATAAAAAGAGAAAATCTAGAGGCTGAGGGAGCTGCAGATGAATTAATATGTAAAACTACAGATGGAAAAAATGAAGCTACTTCGGAGCAAGAGTCGATGAAAGAACAGCAGCAGAAAAAAGTCACCGTTTCCAAATCGAAAGCGAGAAATCAAAGGAGAAGGGCTGCACGTAAGAGAATCAATCTGTTGATATCAAATAACGTCGGTACATTAAATGATGAAAACGGATTAAATAATAATGATAAACAATCAGTAATTGACATATCTCAGCAACAAAACGAGGAGTCTAATATTATACGTTCGCAGTCACTTCTTGAACTGGGAGTGAGTCTGAAACCACCAATGTCTCTTTTCTCGACCTCCAACAAGAGGAAAGGTTATTTTCAAGAAATGAAGAACAAAACGCCCATTCATCTCAGGTTTACATATGATGAAGAGAAAAAAGAGGTAGAGGGTCAAGATTCTAATGAGAACACCTCTTCTCAACATCGCGTCAATGCCACCTCAAATGCTAAGGTTATTGGAGAGAAACAGGTCGATAAAAATGGGAATATAAATTTGGAACTTGTTTCCGAAGAAATATACCCGCAACTTCCTTCACCACGCGCCATTATAACAAGGGTTGATATAACGCGCACTCAACAAAATGGTGATCGACAGCAGAAAAGATCAATGAAGTTACCGATCAACAAATATGCAAAAAAACAGGATGAAAGTTTCAACGGTGATGATAGAAATGACAGCTTTTATTTCGATCAAGTCGAAGGTCATGTCACAGATGAGGATTCAAATGTTCAAGGACGCGAAGTCCTGAGTGATTCGAAGTCATACGAAAGTATGGAATTGTACCGAGGTCAACCTAGGATTGATGATGTTATTGTCTACAGGGTATGGAATGCACAGAGATTCGCTGTGAAATTTTATCATGGTATATCTTAATTGATGCACGTTTTGTTGCTCATTCAGGTGCTAGAATTTTCTCGGTCGTCCTTTACACCCGAATTTTCTGCTTACGAGGTAAATCTAATTATGATTTATTATAAACGTTATCCCGATCGTCTAATCTTTGTTTTTCTTTTTCTTTAACTAAATAACATAATAGAAAGCAAAGATCATAGGATACAATCCTCTGACAAATGATGTTACACTTGAAAGATGTGACGTCAAGTCGGGCGATCAACCAATTTATTCTGTGATGAATGACAAATTTTATATTGAAGGTTTGGAGGATGAGTATATCATTGACAATGGTCAGGAGCCAAGGATTGGCGTCTTCACCATTAAATGGGATAGACTGGAACATGTTAAAGTTTTTTCCGAGAAATAATGGCATTCGGTGGTACACACGAATCATCCTTTTTTCATTTTCAATACATGTTCTATAATGCCGATGTGATTTTCCAAAATTTTATATTTTAAATTTTTTACGAGTGCACACGTGTTTGAAAAGATTTATTATTTAATGTGTGTACGCACATTGAACTAGTCAATTGAATGATCTTTAATGTGGCCATCTCGAAACATAAAATATAAAGCCATTTTCTCTGTAGATTTTCCCTTCCACGTACAATATCGTCGTAAACTTCATTATGAGTTCATTATATCTTTTTAATGAGAATTTGTTGTCAAAGTCCAGACAGAAATCAACCAAAAACGGTCTTATGTGATCTTCTCTCCACACTGACTTGGCGAGAAACAATTGATCAAATCTTAAAATCGGATCTGACGATAATCCAGAGACCGGGAAATACTTTACAATTTCCTCTTGAGGACCATTTGATGAGGAATTTTTTACGATTATTACGTTGTCCTACAAATGTTAGGTTCGTTATCATGTATTCGATAAGTTATGCATGTCAAAAAAAAATGCTTGAGCTTTGAACTTACACTAATTAAATCGAAAGAAACTGGATGCTCGATCGGAATTTCTTTACGCCATTCCTCAAGAAATTCGGTAAGGGTCGTATTCACATTCTAGTTAATGTGGAGCCAAAACAAAGTTAATGAGGTTTCGTACACACTCAATTGTGACTTGAAACTATTCTGAGATCTAACATTTTTCTCGTTATTCCTCAGGAGTTGGGTACCGAAAAGTTGAACAATCTTCTCTTTCGATAACTTGAAGATCGGTGAGTCTATTAGAAAAAATTTTCATGATCTGACGTTAAAGAGATTCAACGAGGAAATGAACCACCGATCTTCATCTCCCCTACTTGATTCATTCACAAAATCGATCGATTCTGACAAACACGTAAAAACATGTTTAACGATGAAATCAGGAAAATCATATTGTTTGCCGATATCGCATAATTCCATTAGCGACACGTGATCAATATCCATGTCATAAACATCGGCAAACATTATACACGGTTTAACGACCTCGCTCATGTATTCCGAGTCAATATATCTCCAATGCCCTTGGGTTAAATCGTTAATTTAGCACGTGCATCTTGACCATTTGCGTGATGAAAGAAAAGAAAATATCCACCTTCGATCTCTAACGCATTTCTTTTTTTAAGAGAATGCTTCAATTCCTCCGTGCTAGCTTGTACAATATCTTCTAGTTCTTCGAATGTATAGAATTTCATCTTATCCTTATTTAACATGTAAAACTACGTTAATGCTATTACAAGATCAAAGAAGTATAATTAAAATCAATGCTAACCGTAATGTAATTTCTCTCATACTCTTGTCCTCTGTACAGAGTTGTGCTCAGTAATTCGTCAAGTTGTTCGATCTTTGGCACACTCAATGTCAATTCGCACAAATAACCCAATGTGTCAATGATCTCTAACTTGCGAGAGCACGGTGAACCGTCTCTTTTCTTAATTTGATGGTCATTATTGTTATTTTCATCTATATCCATATCGTCTCCATTGGTGTGTCGGGGTTGGTCAATATCCACAATAGACGGTGCCAGTAAGAGAAGAGCGTCGCTGTAATGTTGTTTACGCATGACAAAGGTCCTATTTCTCGTGCACAAAACTGGTTCTTTATCATACGACGCCGCCTTTATGCATAGACTTTTATTATACCGAGAAAAATCTTGTTATTGTATGACGCGTTTTTTTCGTGCTCATAACGATTCTGATATGTACCTTGGCAATTCTGTTGCCTCCTGAACTCGCGTGTCATCGTACATCTTGGCGACCTCCGGTGGGAGTTCGATTAGTTTATACTGATCGCTTTCGTAATCAGGTGAATAAAAAATGAGTGCCTCGTTCATGACTTTATATTCGTGATTATTTATACAAAGTTTAGTATGATACGCGCAATTTCTAATAACACGATCGTAGACACGCTAATATAGTATACAATCAGTCATGTGGCTTATTATTAACTTTATTGCAAAAAAATATTATTACATTATACTGTATTTATCATGCCGATTGATTTTCCTCAGGAAGATCCGGTTCATTCCACCTAAACTCTCTAACTTTACTGTGTCCCTCTTCATTTTTTGTAACTGAAAGGTATTTATCCGAAAAATCAGATTGACCAAGCATCCTTGAAAAGTTTTGGTCATGAGTGATAACAATTAATTGGAAATTTCTTTGACGCTTTCGAGATTCAAGTATGTGTCGCAAGCTTGATGCCAAATTAGATATGTGTTCATCGTCAAGATTAGTTGTCGGTTCATCAAGAACAAAGACGCCACAGTTAAGACAAAAGGTTTCGGCTAATGCCAGTCGAATCAAGATCGACGCCAAATTCTTTTGACCGGCGCTACATCTTCCACGCATATCGATGGGAACACCGTTCTTCAGCATAACTACCCTGTAGTTGTATGATCGATTGGCTCGAACCTGTTCCACATCCGATCGAATTTCAATATAATCAATGTCAGAACCTCGATATGTTTCAACCCACAACTCCGCAATTATGGAGTTGATCTCTGCCATTTTCAGCGAATGATAGTGCATAATAGCATTGTCAAGAGCCTTCCAGTACCTTTCAAGATCCTTGATACCCATTTCACTGGTCTTGACTTCAATGAATTTTTCTCGATATTTCTCTTTTGCATTTTTGTATTCGGTGCCCAACTGGAACGTCGCCCTTCGGATGGTTTCCTCCAATTGTTTTAGTTCTCCGTCCAATTTTGCCTTATTAGAAAGAAACCTTGACTGAATCCGTTGCAGTTCGTCCAATCGCTCTCGATAATTTGATGATGAACCGAGCGTTTGGACTTTATCATTTAACTCATTGATTTGGGCATCAAGGTCATTTAGTCGACTCTGGCATTGTCGATATTTGAGATTATCTGCAATGTCTCTTTCCACCTCACGAATTTCGGATGCCTGTTTCTCTAAAAGTTGTATTTGCTTCTCCAACTTCTCTACCAATAACTTTTTTTCAGCAATTTGCTGGTTTGTCTTTTCTATGCGCTCCATACAAGATGCTAGTTTCTGTTCTCCTTGACTTAAATTATATGCCTCGATAGCACGCTCGGTGTCACAAAATCGTTCAAAGAATTTTTTCATTTCATTGAGTTCTCGCATTGATGAATTTTCGGCTTCGATTCTTTGTTGCCGGAAAATTTGCAATTCATCGTCGATCGTCCGGATCTTGGGACTTTGCTCAGTTATCTTGCTGTCCAAATTTCGGATTATATTTTCTTGAGCCTTTATTTCTTCGTCCAACTCGTCAATGTCATTCTGCATACGTAAACACACCGCCAAATTGTTTTTTTGTTCTTGCAATTGAAAGTATAAACGGTGAACCTTTTCCTGACGTGTGGTCAGCTCAAGTGAGCGTACATCCTTAATTTTATTAAGATTATCGATGTCTCTCCTAATCTTTCTTGCTTCAACCTGCAGTAAATCTCGCTCACCCGTCAAATCTTCCAGCGACTTTGTCGAACCGGATAGACTTAGCTCTTGCTGAAGATTATTAATGTCGGTGTCAATCGCTATAATCTCTTTATGCAAGCGAGTGATATTCTCGACATCTTTGCCTAACTTCTTCATGTGATCGGTCTCGCCTTTAATCCCAATAATATTAATATAAATGTCCTCCAAAACCGATTCCACATCAACCTTCTTATCCTGAAGTTCTTCGATCTGCCTTTCCAGTTCAGGTATTTGACTCTGTAAACTACTAACGGTTATCCAAGCAGATTGTAGATTCCTCAGGCGACTCAGTCGAGCTTCACAATCAAGAATTTCACTTTCAGTGGTAGATATTTTATCTGGAATTTTATCGGAAAGATGATCTTGCAACTTCTGCTGAAATTTACTTAGTTCTTCCATGCTGCTAAAGGCTCGATGACACAGCGGACAGTTGTGCTTTTTCTGTGACACGCTGACAAATGTTCTATATAGATCTGCGTGATTTGTAAAGCTTGAAAATAAATCGCGAAGGTCAGTTAATTCTTCCTCTACTTTCTTTATGACGTCAGGAAGATCTCTGTCCCCACAGACTTCATTCAATTGCCGACGGCTCTCATGACTTTCCTGAAGTTTCTTTTGTCTTGTGGATTGTAACATTTGTAACCTTCCATCCATATTCGACAATTCACGCTTAAATTTTTCGTCTTCTGATTCCATTTGTTTGAGTTCTAGTTCTTTGCTTCGTAAAATCTTCAGCATATCCTGATCAAGTGTGTCGATACATGGCTCCTGACCCAAGACATTCCTAAATTCATCTCTGTGAGAAGTTAACAAGGATTGCAATTCATTGGACTTCTCAAGTCGATTCGATCTTTGTAAGTCCAGTTTAGCTCTCGCGCTAGTCTGATGAGTTACACTTGAAATTTCTTCATCTATGTTACTAATTTTATGGTCAACATCGCGGAGATCATTTAACCTCAACATACACTTTTTATTGGTTTCATCATTCTCAATGCTCGACTTTAATTTTTTCAGAGAGGCCTCCTCTTCTGCCAACTGACTGTTGAGGATGGAAATATCTGCCTCTGAAACTTTTTGATTATTGATTTCTTCCATTAACCTATTTTTCTTTTGTCGTTTGGCATCAACAGTGGATTTTGAACTTTGTCTCAAATGTTTAAGAGAGTTAATCTCAGAATTCAATCGGTTCAGTTGAATGTTCAACTCATCCTCTTTATGGTGTGCTTGTTCCCGCTGTTTGACAAACAATCGATCTTTCTCATTGATTTCTTCTTGGAATGATATCTTGAACTTTTGTAAACTCTGATTTGTTAACGGTGCAGTTACAAGAGTTCTAAATTGATATGTTCGACTGATCTCCCGAACCAATTTTTCAAGCTCTTCGATCCTCTTCTCATTCAAAATTTGTTCGGCTTCAAGTCTCCCTTTTTCGGTCAAACCTTCGTTAATATTTGAATTAAGTTTTTGAAGTTCAGGGATAATTTGATTTTTTTGGATCAAAAACGTTTGCTTCTCTCCCTGATGTGAATTTAATTTATTTTTGTAGTCATCCTTGATTCTCATTAGTTCTTCGTCCGATTCATGCATTTCGTTCATATTACTCGCCAATTCGTCCCGTGTTGATGTCATGACCTGCATTTCTCTGTATAGAACCTCCATTTCGGTTTTAATTTTGTCGAACTCCCTAACTGATATCACAAGTTCTTCAATTTCCTTACCATTTTTGTCTATTTGTACATCGAGTGACTCTCTTTTTGCTCTCATCTCATCTGCCTTCCTTTGATCATCCTCCAACGTTATCTCAATGTTGTCAGCTCGCTCCTTTTCTCTTTTAAATTGTTCAAGCATAATCTTGTCCTCTCTGAGAAGTTGAGCCTGCTGTTTACGCAAGTCCGCGATGTTCGCTAGAGCCTTAGTATATCTAGTCGCAGAGAATATTTCATCAAATCTCTTTTTCAAGACACTTGGTTCAGACATTGGCCAATTGGAATCTTCTTGATGACAAAATATCACGTTATCGAGAATAGCTCTGGAAACGCCGAGATGCAGAGGTATTTCATTATCGAGGTCGGCGCAACGTGAAGTAATACATACTCTCTCCTTTGTTTCCGGATCCTCAGTTGATAGCAAAGCTTCAAGGGTTGTGCATGTTATTTTTGGGCCCGATCTCTTTACCTGCAAGGATCTCGCGACAAGTAGTTTTATGTTTTTGATGCTAGTCAGCCTTAACTTAACTTGTCCTTTCACTTCCTGTTCCTGAATTAATCTCGGATCATGAACAAAGGCGCCACCTATACGAGTTCCTGCCGGCATGTCGCCCGTAGTCGCATACTTCAAACATTCTATTATTGTTGTCTTTCCTGTTCCATTAGGTCCAACTATCACCGTAAGGGGTGTTTGAAATTTTATGACTTCAGGATTGATATGACTAAATGAACGAATTCCCAGAATCTGAAGTTTTTCAATAGATGACATTTCTCACTAGGATGCGTAAACAAACGCGTTACTACGTATTTAGTGCTTTTTCACGTGATCTACAAATTTAGTTTACTTCAATTAGAGCTTCTAACTAAACTAATCGCATACTAATGATCTATTGAAAATTACAGGTGCGAAAATAATAAATAATAAATATTTTTAAATAAATATTTTTTCTTGTCATTATCTCTAAATAACTAAAAAAAATTGCAAATTATATAATTTAAGTAATTTTTTCAATATATACTGTATATTATTAAAATTTTTAAAACTAATATAATAAAAAGATAATTTTTTTATTGATTTTTTTATCAATTCAAAAAATAAATATTCTTAAAAGATTTTATATCTTTATAATAACAAAGTCTATAATATATATTTTCCTTAACAATATTGGTTTTTTAATTAATAAAATAAACAATAATTGTTACTTGTATTTTTTTTAAAAAAAAAAAAAATAACAAAAAAAGTATTTTTCAAAAAAATTTTTAATATATATATTTTTTGAATTTTTTATCTTTATTTTTTTAAACAAGTTTTTTTTTTTGGTTTTTTTGATAAAATTGATTTGTTTCAATTTAATTCTAAATATTTAATTACATATATTAAATTTTTTAAATAATAATTTGATTTTAAAACACCAATTAAATCTTTTTTTTTTTTCTAATAGATTTTTTTTTTTTTTAACCCTTGCCATCAACTCAGATACCTTTATATCACCTTTTTAGTCTCCCAATGTTTCTCCGAGGTACAGAAGGTGATTATGACAGTCCTAAATACTTGTCTTAGGCCTAAGCCTCTAAGTATAGATGGTGGGGATGAAGAGTTGCTATATTCAAGGCAAGCAGACCTTTGTTATCTGTCAGGATAATCATTGCCTGCAGCTACCACTACAGTTTTTCAACTGTTCAGTTTAGTCAAGACTTACTAGAATTTAGTCAGTAAGATATCATTGGAGGATGAGGGTACACCAGTACACCAAATACGCCTGGGAATCAGATCCAGTCTCACCCTGCCTAATCTGACCTAGCAACACATATGGGGGTTACAATTTATGGAGGCATGCAGTCAACTATCGCAAGTGTACCCCTTAGGATAGAACATTCTGTGATACAAGTGACCTCCTGCAATCCCGACTGGATCCTAGTAGAGGAAAAATGTATTTTCTGGTACACTTTTTGAATACCTCCTATTAATTTATAGCCAGAATTGCTTTTAATCGTCATCCTGCTATATTTTATATCATTTTATATAGCCAGCTTTGGCCACTTTTTGAACACCTCCATATTTTTCACCTCATTCGAAAATGTTACAATTTATTTTTTTGGCCACATACCAAATTATCCATGTACTTTATATCTTTCCGGTATTGGGAATTTTTGGTATAAATTTTTATAGAATAGAAAATTTAAATTGAACAAAAGTATTTCCAGTATATATACCAAATATTATTTATACATATATAAATTTCAAATTGAACAAAAGTATATATTATATTAATACAACTCTCCTATCTATACTTATATTCAAAATGATACCTCCATGCCCTAGATGTGGTTATATATTTGCTGAAACAGCAAAACAAAGAGATCTTGATAAACATCTTGCTCGTAAATTTCCATGTAAACCTAAAATGATTCAACAACCTATTTCAGAATCTACTACAGTCTCTATTCCAGAACCTACTACAGTCCCTATTTCAGAACCTACTTCTATTCAAGTTCCTGTAGGTGATTTAATTTCATTGGATGACTCTCTCCTACCTCCTACCCAAAATATACCTACAAATAACGATCTTTTCAGAAATGATGAAGAATGGTTTGATAAAATGGAAGATAAATATAACGTAAATTCTGATGTAATATGGCCAGAATTGGGTGGAGATCTTTTATCCAATAAAGCAGAAAGAAAAGTCTATAAAGAAGGAACGTTATTAAATCCATCCAAAAGAACCAATTATTCATTGCCAGATGGATCATTATTATTTGAAGAATGTGAGAAAAACATAGATCCATTAAGACCACATCAAAACCTACAATCAATGAGTTTATGGCAGGCCATTGTTCCTTCACCAAATAATCCAAAATACGGATTTAATGTATATGTTGATAATCCTCATAAATATTTAGAAGCTCCATATATGCCACAATTAATAGCTATAGCAAGAGATCAAATATCAAAAGTTCTTAAAGCAGAGTTACGCAGAAAAGATCAAATAAAAACAGCTTTGGTTGCCAATTGCATATATAAAGGTACAATAAAATCAGAAGATAAATATTCTTATATTCAACATAGAAGTAAAATGCGTGCCATTCTTTCTGAAAATGATATTGATGAGCATATAGATCTTTCAATACCTGAAATAGATGAACAAATCGATACATTTATGAATTTAGGATCTGGTTGGAATTTAGTAAGAATCGAAATGTTAACTATTGAGGCTTATACATTTCGAAGAGCAGTTGGAGGATCATATATACCAACACCACCAAATTTAGCATCAAAGAAAGCTACAATTAATCCTGATAATTCAAATATAATTGATCCAATTACAGGCAAGCCATCTGATAATTGTCTTCAAGGAGCATTAGCTTGTTATTTTGCCAATAAAGATAGACATAATAAGAATCTTTCTCGTATATTTACTGCAAAAGAATATAAAAAATACTTGGATATTGTTAGTTTGAATGGAATTCCAACACCAACTCCCATATGCTCCAGAGTATTTGAAAAAATCAAAAAACAAAATCCTATATTATCTATTAATGTATGGAGATGGAAAGAAAAAGAAGGTCGACCAAAACCATTAATCCATAGTAAGAATTTCCACATTTCAAATTCTTGTACAGTTACAGGATGTAAGCATCCCAGACCAAATGAATGTCATAAAGAACGTGAGATTATCCATCTTATGGTATTATCTGAAACCAAAGAAATAGTTTATTCCAATTACAATCTAATAAAAAATATAGACAAAGAAGGCAAATATGGGACCAGAATGCATTTCTTATGGATTAAAGATAAAGATAAATTGGCTTTTAATGATTCATCACATACTACAAAAAGACATCTTTGCGATAAATGTTTTATAAGTTTCAATACAAAAAGTGGAAGAGATCATCATAAAAATCATTGTTATGGATTAGAAGAAGCTTCTCAAGTAATTACAATGCCAAAAAATAATGGCAAAGAAAATATCAAGAAATTTACAAATTTTAAAAGAATGATAAATGCTCCATGTATTATATTTGCCGATTTTGAAGGATTTAATATAAGGAAAGATGAGAGTTATGGTGGAAATATGCGAAAGATAGCAGAACAACCTGCCAATAGTTTTAGTTATACAGTTCATTGGATCGATACTGATAATGTTTGGGGATCTTTTCTATATCGCAGATCTAATGCTACAGAAGAATTTGTAAACCAAATGGATATGGAATATAAACAAATTAATGATATTTTGGCGATTAAGAAAGATAGAAAAATAACAGATGAATATCAAAGAAAATTTGATAATGCTACAGATTGCTGAATTTGTAATAAATCTTTAGAAAACGATAAAGTTTGGGATCATTGCCATATTACAGGTGAATATCGAGGTGCATGTCATAGTAAATGTAATTTAGATTTACGAATAGAAGCTGGAAAAACACCAATTCCAATAGTATTTCATAACTTTAGAGGATATGATTCTCACCTTGTAGCCCAATCATTATCTAAATCAGCTAAAGCACATCAAATAAGAGTAATTGCGAAAACCTTTGAAAAATATAAATCTATTCGAGTTGGTCAATTCAGATATATTGATTCAATGCAATTTATGAATACAAGTTTATCAATGTGAGTATTTATACAGAATAGATAAAGATTGATGTATAGAATCACTTGAAAACTATAAAATAACTAAACAGCATTATTTAAAACAATATACTGAAAAACAAATTGCAATGTTATGTGTTAAAGGAGTTTATCCTTACGAATATATTAATTCACCAGCTAGATTTCTTGAAACAGAATTACCATCTATCGAAGCATTTTATAGTAAAATCAGTGGTAAAATATCACAAGAAGATTATAATCGTGCACAAATGATTTGGAATGAATTTGGATATAAGAATTTAGGCGAATATCACGATTTATATCTTAATACTGATGTACTTCTTTTAGCAGATATATGGATCAAATTCCGAGAAACATCAATAAAATATTATAAACTAGATCCTAGTCATTATGTATCTGCTCCTGCATTATCTTAGGATGCAATGTTAAAATATACAGGAATCGAGATCGAACTTTTTACAGATATTAGTATGCATGATTTTATCGAAAAAGCTAAAAGAGGTGGAATTGCTATGGCTGGAGAACGATATTTCAAAGCAAATAATTCTAAAATAGGTGATGATTACGATATTTCTAAACCAACTACATGGATTTCATATGTCGATGCAAATAATTTATATGGTTGGGCTATGTCTCAATATCTACCTATTGGAAATTATATATGGGAAGGAAGAAGTGGGTATTTTAGAGGTACTAAAGCTTTACAAAAGAAATATCTTAATATGATTATCAAGAAAAAAGAAAACACTCCAAGAGGATGTTATGTAAATATTAGGGCTCATTTTCCTATAAAAACACATAAATATCTTAAAGACTTACCTCCTGCAGTAGATTCTGTTGCTGTAAAATGAGATTGGCTTAGTCCATATAATAAAGAACAATTGGAAAAAATAGATGGAAAATGATATATAGCAACTGAAAAATTAGTTTCTCACTTGGGTATATGAAATAATTATGTAATTCATTATCGAGAACTTCAATATTATATAAAACTTGGAATGATTGTAGATGAAATTTATGAAGTATTATCTTTTGATCAATCTACTTGGCTAGCTCCTTATATTAAGCTCAATACAAAATTACGTCAAAATGCTAAAAATAGTTTTGAAAAGGACTTCTTTAAACTTATGAATAATTCTATTTATGGTAAAACCATG